CAGCTTTGGATTTGGCCCCGCCTCTGCGTGTAGGTCGCTGGAGGGCGTCTGTTCTTCGCTCAGACAGGACGGGGTTAAAGGAGCCGCTGACTCGGGGGCTCTGGCTCACTCAAGCCGCGGGGAGGGAGGGGCATGGAGGGCGGGGCGGGCCTGCGGCGGCAGAGGCCGCCGTGACGTTGCACCAGCCTGAGGCGCGCCGTGCGTTCTCCCGGGGGAGGTGACCCTGCATCCCGGGACCCTGGCAGTGGCGGGCCGCACAGGCTCCCCGGAAGGGGGTGGTGGATAGTGACCTGTGCTCGCACACAGGCTTCCTGGTGGCGGCAGCAGCAGCCTTAGCGTCTCATGCCCGTCTCTGGGGTCCGCGCTGTTAGCTGCGGCTCGCGCCTGTCTCTGGAGCTCATTTAGGCGGCGCTCTGAATCCCCTCTCCTCGCACACCCCAAAACAATGATCTCTTGTCTCTTCGGCAGGTCCAGACTTCTCCCTGGACTCCCTCCCGGCCAGCTGTGGCGCACTAACCCCCTGCAGGTTGTGTTCACGCCGCCAACCCCGGTCCTCTCCCTGCCTCCGACCGAAGCCCGAGCCTCAGCTCCCAGCCCCGCCCAACCCCGCAGGTGAGCAGACAAGCCTCTCGGCCTGGTGAGTGCTGGTCGGCACCGATCCCCTGGGTGGGAATCTCTCTGCTTTGCCCCCCGCACCCCTGTTGCTGTGCTCTCCTCCGGGTCTCCGAAACTCCCCCCCTCTGCCACCTGCAGTCTCGCCCGCGAAGGGGCTTCCTAGTGTGTAGAAACCTTTCCTCCTTCACGGCTCCCTCCCACTGGTGCAGGTCCCGGCCCTATTCTTGTCTCTGTTTATTCTTTTTTCTTTTGCCCTACCCAGGTACGTGGGGGTTTCTTGCCTTTTGGGAGGTCTGAGGTCTTCTGCCAGCGTTCAGTAGGTGTTCTGTAGGGGTTGTTCCACGTGTAGATGTATTTCTGATGTACTTGTGGGGAGGAAGGTGATCTCCGCGTCTTACTCTTCTGCCATCTTGAATCCCCTTCCTTTACCCATTTTAAAATCAGGTTATTTGTTTTTTTGCTATTGAGTTGAAGGAGTTCCTGACATATTTTGGGAATTATCCCCATATCAGATACGTGGTTTGCCAATATATTCTCCCATTCCATAGGTTGTCTTTTCACTTGGTTGGTTGTTTCAGTAGATGTGTAGATTTTTAGTTAGATGCAGTGACCCTTGTCTGTTTTTGCTTTTGTGCCTGCGCCTTTAGTGTCATATCCGAGAAATCACTGCTGAGACCAATGTCAAGAAGTTTTTCTCCATGTTTCCTTCTAGTTTTATGGTTTCAGATCTTACATTTAAGTCTCTAATCCATTTTGAGTTAATTTTTATGTATGGTATAAAATATGACTACAAAATTTAAAAGCCTTAACCAGGACTTCCCTGGTGGCGCGGTGGTTGAGAGTCCGCCTGCCGATGCAGGGGACACAGGTTCGTGCCCTGGTCCGGGAGGATCCCACGTGCCGCAGAGCGGCTGGGCCCGTGGGCCATGGCCGCTGGGCCTGTGCGTCCGGAGCCTGTGCTCCGCAATGGGAGAGACCGCGGCAGTGGGAGGCCCGCGTACCGCAAAAAAAAAAAAAAAAAAGCCTTAACCAAAGAAGTATTCGACTAGGAACCTTCAGCAAGATAACTGGGTATGAGACAAATTTATGCAAAAAATTCTTTCATATTTACAGTATTGTTAGGAAATGAAAGGCCCCACCCGGCCTGGGGGGTGGCCTGGCCCAGTTTCACCCCCTCATCAGCCAGCACCGGCAATCGCCCCACCACTGGCTGCACTTATGCCCCCATCCGGAGCCTGTCCCTCCTCCCCCGAGGGTTTGCTGCCTGGATCACCCTGGCCCTTCACTCTGCTCGGGCTGTTTCACTGTTCACGGTGACTATACCGTCTTGTCCCCGCGGTGCCTGACTAGCCAACGCCATCACCTCCATCAGAACTGCCCCCCGCCCCCACCACCCCCCTCCTCAGCTTAAATCCCAGCCACTCCAACTGCTGCTTTGTCCAGCTGGCTCAGCTGAACTGTAACGCGGTTCAGCTCAAAGTCAACTCGGCCCTTCTGCCCAGGAACACCTATGGCTGCAGCCACAGGTTGGGATGCCAGTGTCTCTTGGAAACCACCTGCCCAAGCTGGGGGCTCACCGTTCACCAGAAACGAGCACCATCAGGGGACCCACCCCTTCTCACGTGCTCACCTGGGCCTCCAGCCTTCCCTCCTGTATCTTCCTTCTTCAAACTCTCTCTTGATGTCACGTCTGCTTCTCCCTACAGCCTACTTCCTGGCTCCTCTTTTCAGGAAAACTCTTCAGAAAGGTTTCTACGTTTCTGTCTCCAATTAGTCTTCCTCCATTCTCTGTTGCTCTGTTTAAAAAATTCAATCTACAGAAAGGCCTAAAGAGCAATTCAAAGAACCCTGTCTAGATCCCAGCATTTATCCCTCAGTTGCTGAGGTCTCATCGGCCCAAACGCTAACGGCACAGTTGATCCAGCAGTTCTCAAACTGGGATGAGCAGACTCCCTGGGACCCGGGGACCATTTCAGGGACCCAAGAGGTCACAGCTATGTTAGCAAGATGTGAGTTGCTTTCTCCTGTGTTGACATTTGCACTGTGGCTCAGAAGCAACGGTGAAGCCTCAGCAACGACTGTCCTGACTACCACTATGTTCTTCACTGCTGTGCAGTTAAAAAAGGCCAATTTCACTTAAAAATGTCCTTGATGAAGCAAAAAATACATATTACATCTCAACCACTGAGTACATGTCCTGTGATGAAATGGAAAGCACGTGGAACAAAGTACAATATTGCCTCCAGGGAAAGCACTTGCCTGGGTGGTTGTGTTACAACGTAACCAGTTGCTTTCTTTCTAGAAACATCATTTTTATTTAAAAATAATTGACAATGGTTATTAAGACTTTATATGACTTTTTATGTTTGGCAGATGTGATTTAAAAGAAGATTAACCAAGTGAGCCTGTCACTTCAAGGAAAACAAATGACAGTATATGTGGCGAATGAAGTCAGCTTCGGACTTTTATAGTTAGTGGTATTAATGAGTTTTTCTAAATATTAAATGAAATGTTTCAACATCTGGAAGGTCTGCGGACCTCAGTTAAAGAATATTTTCTGGAATTCCCTGGCGGTCCAGTGGTTAGGACTCCGTGCTTCCACTGCAAGGGGCAGGGGTTCGATCCCTGGTCGGGGAACTAAGATCCCACTAGCTGTGCAGTGTAGCCAAAAAAAAAAAAAAAAAAGGAAGATTAAAAAAAAAGAATATTTTCCAGATAGCTAAGGCATGATGTTATAAAATCATGCATGATTAGCCGTCCATTCAAAGTACAAGATAAACAGATTTAATGTAACTGAGTACAAGAAATTCATCCATATGGTTTCTGATTCAACATTGAACCTTTATGAAACCATTGCTGTAGAAACCACCTCTGCAGAGTTTTGATTTTGTATCCAATACCCATGATCAACTGCAAAGGCTATTAAAATACCTCTCCTTTCTCAATTACTACATACTTCCACACATTTATAGAGACCTTTCTCTCACAAGTGTTTTATAGTTTCCAGTGTAGAGGTCTAGAACACCTTTTAAGACATACTCCTAGGTATTTTATGGTTTTGATGTTACTGTAAGTGGACTTATTTATTTCACTTTCCAGCTGCTTGCCACTAGTATTTAATACAAGCACCTAAAAGGCTCTTCAGACCAAATGTTAAGAACCAGTGAACTACCGTGAGAGTTCAGCATGAAATGAATTTTGGTAAGTTGAGCAGAGCAAAATTTGAGCTTATTCTTGGTCAACGTCAAAATGATGTCTGCAGTTTTTAAAAGTATTAGAACATTTGTTTTCTTCTTAAAGTCCTAATTTAAAAAATTCTTCCCCAATTATATATGAAGTAGACAGAATAACGAACCTTCATGTACCCAATGTTGATATCAGCTCAGCCCAGATCTTGTTTGAGTTTCGTCCCATTCACTCTCCAGTCCTACATTATTCTGAAGCAAATTCCAGGCAAGACAGAATTCCAGCGTAACAATCTTATGTATTTCTAAGCACTTTATGTCAGTGACTTTGAACCACAATGTATCATGCACCCACTGAATTACAGAGGTTGCCGAAATATAGATTCTATGCAATATTCTTATCCCCAAGAAGCAGTCATATTCTCCCCAATTCCATGGCTAACCAAATGTTCTGACCTTTAGCGTATTTTAAGAGATTCATTTAATGTTTTCCAGCAAATATTAGTTCACCAGGAAGCCTCTGAGATACCTTCAAATACAGTCCACGCAGGGAATGAGAGAACGGCATTAGGTTTCCTCTGTCTTGAAACTCAGCCACTTGGGTGGCTTCATGATCAGTCCCTTAAAAAGGTTTCCGAGGTCACCTGCGTCCGGGCGTGATGACTGACCCTGCAGGGAGAAGGCGGGGGTGACACGGCAGATGTTCTGACTTCTGCTCTCAGCACAGAGTAATTTTTGTGACAATTCCAAAGGCTCGTGCTCCTTCACTTGGTCTAGCAGGTTTTTCCATCACGTACAAAAATAAACGTTTTAAATAACATACTAGGCATGCCAGAATGGCTATTCTGTTGCCGTTATTAACTCTAATTTATATACTTAAAAGGCTTACATTTATTAATACGTGCCGGCCGAAAGAAGTTTAGGAAACTATGGTTGTGGTCTTTTATGAAAATAAGCATGCAGGGACAATACTGTTAGCTGACAGCAATTTATACCTCCCCCTACCCCCAAGAGAGATCAGTGAGAGTGTTCATAAAATTAGAGCATGTGAACGAACCAAAAGCGGTGAAAAGGACTACATGGGAGGATCAGAAGAGTAGATGGAATCTTACAAGCAAAATGAAAGGCAGCAGTAGAGGTCGACCTCTCCAGTTCCTCCCACGGACCACCCTCACGCAGGGAAGCATACCCAGAGACACATCGGGCGTGAGCGTTTGTTTATTCCATGTGTAAAGGACAATTTAAAAACAAAATGTTAGTAACACTCTGAGAACATTGGTTTTGTTCATCTGACACATCCTCTATCTTCACCAATTTTTATTACAAAAATCAGAAAAGTAAAAATTCATGACAATATTTGCACAGTGTAACCACTAGTTGCCTAAACAAAAGCTAATTTCTATAAAACCATAAACTTAATGCAGCTTTATTAAGAGAGATTCAAAATTCCCTCAGTTAACTGGATATACATAGTGGTATATATTTTAAAGCAGAAAACCCCAAAAAACAAAAACAAGGAAAAAAGAAAATATATGTCAAAAGAATCAGTTAAATATTTTGACCTGACAGTCCCCTACAAAGAGTAACTTCCACTACATATAGGGGAAACCATTATCTGTGGTAAAAATCCTAGAGTCCAAGTAGGAAATGTGGAATAAAAACACATCAAATCAGAAGTCAGTCCCAGGCTGCAGGTGCTTTCAGTGAAATCCAGGGCAGTGAGCTACACCATTAAAGAAGGGACCACTCATGTCCCCAAACCAATACGTGTGTCTACAAGTAAGACCTTCACCACACGGCACGTAGCAAAGTTATCAATGAAAAGACTTTGAAAAAGACAAACGTTCTTTTCTTCATACAAATCACTGCAAGAAATCTTTGTAAGGCTGTACCTTGCATAGGGAAAGAGTTGTCTTCTGTCAAAAATTCTACTGGAAAGAGTAAAAGCAAGCTCTTCAAAATGATGCCCGCGTGCAAAGGGGTAAATTACTAGGCACCTCATTCACTGTCTGCAATCTATCCTGATCAGATACGATTTAATTTGACGGAAGGAAAAATGGCGATTTACGGTGATGGTATTCAAGAGAAAATATTGAGATTGGCAGCAGAAAAATTAAATTTCAAAAGTGCACCCTGAGAGAGGCCCCCACTGTCCCACGGAGAGACACGTGTGTGCTAAATAAGCCTACCTGCGCTCATGCTAGGACGCAGCGAGAACCTGCCGAGTAGAGTGCACTTTCTCAGAAAGCTGAAGTGTAAGAGAATAGTACAAGTTGTGGCATTCCTTCAGGTTGACGCTACACTAGCATTCGGAGTTGGTTAGCAGGAGGCCTCATGTGTCCAAGCGGCGGCCTCGGCCCTAAGAGCCGTGGAACAGGTGCATGGTGCCCAGGACGGCGCTGTCGTGCCCCTCCTCCAGCTTCACGGAGTTGGAGTGCTCTATCACACTGCTCAGCTCAGGGATGCTTTCGGCAGTGTCTCCAAACCCGTGGTAGTGTCCGTAGTGCAGGTTCTCCCCGATATCTTCCACCCAGGAAGGCCTGCTGGCTATGCAGCTACTTGGACTCCCGTTCAGGTGCAGAGAGCCGCACATCTCGGGGTTAACGCTCGTGCCCTTTTCTGGCTCTTCAGTCCCATTAACACAGGGAGAACCCTGGCTACTCGGAAACGGCGGTCCTGGAACTAGTCCACCGCCAATTCCATTAGGTCCTGTCAAGCACTGGTCACTCCTGCTCTCCATCCCACTGAGCTGTGTCGTGGAAGGGAAGTCCAAATGTCCATTGATGAGACATCCATTTGTCAGTGTATTCGATACGGAGCTACTGTTTTTCGTATCTGCATTAAGAAATACACCTGTCACCAAAATTCAGAACCAGAGGGGAGGAGACAGTATAAAATGCTTCATTCCTGCTACTGTTTTAAAGGATTTATTTAGTTTCCTTTCTTTAAACAAACCAGTTCCTCTTGCAAGGCAAAAAACGGTGCATAAGTGATTTAAAAGTAAAACACAACAGAAGCGTTTGCCTGGTAAGATAGGAAACATTTATAGATTTCATTAGTGCTGGGGAACCAAATGAAAGAACTTCAGCTGACAAACATACCGCATGAAAAACACCAACAGCACTGAACTGTTCTCAGTTTAAGACTACTTTGGAGAGCAGTTTTAAAAATCGTCACGTGTGAAAAAGTCCATCAGAACTGAACGTGTTCCCACAAAGGGTTAAAATAAACCAAAAACTTCTCCAGCTTTTAAGAAATTAAAAAAAAAAAAAAAAAAGAAAGAAAAGCAGTTGATGAAGTATGTGAATTAAGGAGGCTCCCGGGACAAAGTCTGACAGCGTCACAGGAGGCTCCTCAGAGCGCTTCCTCCAAGCCAGGGACGCGCACACAGGAATAGGAACAGGGAGCGCTTTCCTCAGCAACACTTGAATGCCACAGCACTTCTGCAAAATGCCACACAGCACTGTGAGACTGCAGGAAGAACCATGAACCCTAATGATTCCATGCATACAGTCTTGGGCCAAGAGCACAGTTCTGAAGAGTTTCTTCTGAGTTCAGCAATTACAGTGACTATGATCTCCAAGGTTCCACTTTCAAAAACCATAATCTGCACATATAGACATCTGTTAAGAGGGAGATGTCTTATGGGAAAAAAACGTCAATCACAAAACGTTTGGACACATGGGAATAGGCAATTACAAGGTATTTTCTGTATAGTGAAACTCAAGAATTAATATTCATGTTCACAGGAATTCACAGAACAGTACAGAGAATGATCTAAAATTATGACTTGCTTAATGATGTTAAAATTTACCCCAATGTTCTGCACTATTCAAGTAAAGTGTGACATTAAATACAGAAGCACTGACTCTGTAACCTCTAGAATGAGGACACACAGGTGTGTGTCCCATGACCCTAACACCCCGCACACTATGACCCCCGACTGGCACCCAGACATAGGTTTGTGTGTCCTGAAAATCTTTCTGATGACAAAAAAAAATCACATCTTGTTCAATGAACAAAAACATCTTCTAAACATTCTATTAATCATCAATTTTCTGGCAGTTTAAGTGACACAGTTTAACAGCCGCTATAAATTCTTCAGCGGATTATGGATTATTTCTTCTCAAATTGAACGACAGATTTTCTATTTAGTTAAACTTAAGGCTGGAGAACAAGTGTTTCAAGAACTAAACATGAGGTAAAATTAAAAATAAAACAAGTTATTCCCAGGGAAATATTTATTTACTTTTTCCCCAAAATAAACAGCTTTTCCTGGGTAAGAAAACTCATGAGTAGGATGTTGACTTTGATAGTTAATAAGACAACTATACTACTACTAACAAAGATAGAGACTATATTTTTAGGTGACTGGGCCTCAGAAATCCGAGTTAACTAGACGGATGTTTTTTTGTTTAATGGTCACTGCACGTGTATCCTTCTCTGGTGCCCAGCTAAAGTAAATTAGCTCCATTATGCATTCTCAAAATCAAGGCTAGTTGTAACCCCATGTCATTATGAAACATCTAGTAAAACTGAGCATGAGAGCAGCAAACCTCCCAGAAACTGGCTAAGACCTACGGCTGCTTGGTCAGACCTGCACCTGCCGACGGACGGTCTGCAGGACCGCCCAGGGCCGCCCATACACTCTGTTCCAACGTGCCTTCCAGGACTCGCCTCTTGCACCCCAACCCCTCGCCCACCTACTGCAAGTGACCGCTAGCAATTCCATACCTTTTGTTTATTCAGTCAGAGAGTGTTACAAACGAAGTGATGAAAAACATGGGGAATGCTTACTTGGCACCTATCGTATGGGATGAGTTGAGTTTAAACATTGGCCTTTTCAACGTTAGGTTCAAGAGCGGCATTAAATTTAATCCGAAAACCGAGGGAATTAATGTTTGAAGATTAAAGAGTGATTACTTCTGCCTTTTTAAAAGCATGTAGCAATGACATTTTTTAAAAAGCTGGCTTTGAGTTATTTATCTTTAGCCAAGATCTTTAAATGTATTATCCAATCAGTTTCCCTTGGAAAATCTACCCATTTAAGTATTTGGCAAAATGGTGACTCCATCCGTAACAATTCTGTAGCTTCTAGAAAGATGTACACATTTTCTTTTCATCTTAGTGAACAAAAATGATTTTTTTCATGTACCTCTGGGAAACAATATATATAATCTTTTATCCCCAGTAAAGAATTTAGCATACAGATATAATAAAACTTTAAAAAAACCAGTATCTATTTCCAAATAAACATATTAAGAGAATGGCTAAAATGTTTTCATGGTCACCTAGATAAAAGAATGGTAGAGGGCTTCCCTGGTGGCGCAGCGGTTGAGAGTCCACCTGCCGATGCCAGGGGACACGGGTTCGTGCCCCGGTCCGGGAAGATCCCACATGCCGCGGAGCGGCTAGGCCCGTGAGCCATGGCCGCTGAGCCTGCGCGTCCGGAGCCTGTGCTCCGTAACGGGAGAGGCCACAACAGCGAGAGGCCCACGTACCGCAAAAAAAAAAAAGAATGGTAGAAAAAGGCATTAGCTAAATGGCTAAATCTTTAAATAGTAAAAGAAACAAAGCCCTTACCTTTTAAAAACCAAAAATGACTCAAGTGTTTTACTATCCCACCAATCTGAGTGAAGAAGTGTGTTCTGTGAGACACAGCGCTCAGCATCTTAGCAGATTCAGGGTGAGCGCCACACAAACCAAAGCAACCAGGAATGCTGAGTTAGAGATTTCACGGTGGCCTGACTGGTCAGAAGTCAAAACCACAACATCTACTAGTTCTCAGTGTTTACAGCCAGACATTCCTTTTGCTGTTTATCGCTTCGAAATTACTAGCAATAGGTGTTCGTTTGGTAGAGTCACCCCAAGGTCCTCTGTCAGAAAATGAAAAACGTGAAACCTCATTAAAATTAAACAAGGCACACTGAGCAAGTCTCAAATCAAAATAGGAAGATGGCACTTATGTTTCTCATATCCATAAAATGCACCAAAACACTTCTCCTTATAGCTACAAACTTGTCCAAGATATGCAGATTATAGCATAACATTCTTTAAAACACTGGGCAAAGTGCAAAAACTGCTTGAGCGAACGCATGTTAGAAATAACACGCATACTGGTTCTTGCAACGGCAGGGGGTCTGCATTGCTGAAACAGTATAGATTTCTATTTCTTTCGGTCCAACAGAACCACCCTCCTGCTGTTTGGTGTCTTCGACCATTGGACCGCTGCTGTGGCTAACAGGAAACTGTCCACTCCCACCTGTTACAAACTCTCTATCGACGTGCATGCTGTCAGCATCGTCTTCCGCCTCGCCATTCAGGAGCGGCATGGGGTCATCCGAGCTTTGAGCTGCACAGAAAACAAAGGCAATTTTAGGTTCCCTACACCAAAGCAGAGGACTTTAACACAGATGCTTCTCATTCCTTGTTGTCTGAGCACTGGAGGCTCCAAAACTGTCAGGTAACTTTACAATCTACGGATTATTAATGGACTTGGCACACTACCAAGAAACGTACTTTTCCCCAACAGAAAACAATTCCTCAAATGTGCAGTTTCGATGAAAAGTCATGGCATTTCAGATACCTACTTGAGATTTACTTGTCGGCATAAATTTTCATTTAGGGCTGTTATTTAGACAATGTAAAGCAGTTATACAACTCAGAGACATTTCTAGCTAGTTTTAAAGATTCAGGACACTCTACGTTATGCCCCCACATGTTCCTTCAGTTGTTTTTCATAAAGAAATGACAATTCTTGAACAACATAAAAACCATTAAAACGGTCCTCAAATTTTAAAAAAAGTTAACTTATTTCATTAACAGAAAGTAAAGTAAAAGCCGAGATCAAGACAGGTTTGTCCAGTACCACCCGAGAGCAGCTCTGGCCCTCTGCACCAAGATGCAACGCAACTGGAAACACCCACTAAACGTCTGGGTTCCAAGACATTTGGAAAGGACGCTACGCACGCACCTTTCTTATGAGACTCCCACTCCCGCATCTTGGAGAACAGCTCATGTGCACACTTGGCCACTCCTCCAGGGGTCACATACCCTGGGCAGCAATGCCTCCTGCGCCCCCGGGGCAGCCTACTTCTCGGGAGCAGCCACTCTCATGCAGCGTATGGCTCACCAGTCTTAAGCAGCACGCATTTTTACAAAATTGGATCCAAAGAAAATCACTTGCATGCCTCGCCTTTATTCACTTACCATGGCATGAATGCATCCCATCAAGTAAATTCAAAAGGATCTTTCAAGTTGAATAATAACCCACTGTATGCGTGGATTACAGTTCACCCACCACCCAGCTCCCCACTGCGGTGTGGGTGGCTCGTTTTCTTTCCCATCATGAATATACCATAACTAACATCCCTATAAACGCACCTTTGCATACACTTCTGGTTCTTTTCCAAGATAAACTAGAATGATTTCTGGGTCAGAGGGTATATACAACAAATAAGTAACAACTTTCAGTGTAATTTCTTTCAAATAAACATTTAAAAACAGAGAGACCTGAACTGTGCAGCTTCAATTACTTCTAATTTTGGACACACACGAGTCATTTTCAATATAGGAATGAGCATATCAGTTCCAGAGTATTCTCCAAACGGTTGAAACAGTTTTAAATGAAAAAAAGTCTTAATAAAAGAGAAACAAATTCTCAATGATCAGTATATGGAAGAAACAGAAACAGAGCCGTGTAATTTGTGCAGTTGAGAAAAAATCTGCACAGGTGTGAAGCCAAAAGCACCCTACAGACGGAGGTGATTTAAAGCCAGAGGCAACAACTGAGGACTTCAGTCTTGTGAAGCTTTTCTTAATCCTCCACAGGCCCCAAGTCAGTGATAGGCTAGGCTCCATCTTCGCTATGAAACAAGGTACTTTCAAAAAGTCAGTGGTAAACAGGACGTCTTAGAAAATGGGGGTGGGGTGGAGGGCTGGGAGAGGGATGTTCCAGGTACTGGTTGACAGAAGCCTCACAACCTTCAGTGCTCGGTCAGTCACCGCGGAGATGAGGGGCCTGCAGTAGCAAGGCCCACGTTTGATGAGCCAGACCAGGCAGTTTACTGAGAACCAGTGCAGGTTATCGGGGCAAAGCCACAGACGTCCTCATACAAAAGGTCAGACTTCACTGGGGATACGGTGCAGATAGCTTTATGTAGCCATACTCATAACGCCTGGTTTTGTTCAGGAATTCAGGGCCCGTGTTCCTTGGGGAAAGTGACATCTAGGTTACAGCGGCAGTTTCAGATCTCTGAAAAGCAGGTTTTAAAAAGAAAGCTGACAGGTGAGACACGAGGACCTTCCCCCTCCTCCCCCAAAAGTGCAACAAGAAAACAGCTTCATGAAGGCAGGCAATGTGTCTCTTCACTCCCCAAGCCCAGTGCCTGGCAGTGTTCCATCGATGAATGATGCCCAGGCTCTAGCCAGAAAAGGCGCACACACAGAAAGCAAGCAAAACTATTAAGAGTAACGAGAGTAGTCATCTCAGGTCAGACTAGCTATAAAATGAAAAAGGACAGGAGGGCAGACCTGCCACTAGGGGGCCAGACGAGCTGGTGGCAAAGGGAGGGATTTTCAAAATAAAAGCGGGTATAGAGGAGCGGGCACAATACCACCTTAAAGCAGAGGCTGATCCCTTAACCAGAGGCCTACGCAGTGCACTAGGGACGCTATCCTTCTACACGTGTCTTTTGTTCATGCAGGTAGCTGCTCACCAATAGAGCGGGATAACAACGAAACACACCAAAGCTTTCAGATTCTAGTAAAGAAAACTCTTGAACGTGGGAGGCATATGCTAATACAGACAGCCTAGAATTTAATTACCCTCTCCGTAGATATGCAATCTTTGCAAGGCGTTTTTCCCATACAGTCTCCATCTGCCGGGATGTGCAGCCACCTGGCTGCTAACCTAGATGCCTAGAACCCTGGGTGATGTATTTTATACCGACACCTTCATGTCTTTATTTCTAGCACCTGGAAACGGGAAGGGCTGAAACAGCTCAACGGGAGCACTGAGGTTGTAATCATTTACCTTTTAAAACTGCACTATAAGCCATGAAATTAAAATTGGCCTTTCAGAATTTTGAAGGACACTGCATCTGGACTCGACTCCTTTCTCCACAGCCACGGAGCACGCCACCTGCGGCCTTTTCTCCCAATACACGTATCGTCATTGCCAAAGGAACTACCGAAATATTCCAGGCCGCGTCTGAGAAAAGTGGCTTGTAGACATCTCAGAAAAAAAATTTTCTTCCAAAAGTATCCATTTTGATTCTATTTGTTTTAGAAAAGCAGCACTTTCCCTTCCCATTTTCCTATTCCAGTTAAAAGGAAAAATTACCGAACATTGGTTAAAAGCGTCCTTATCTTTTACTTTGACTGCCAAAGCAGGTATTTGTTGACTAGACATGACTTCAATACACGTTAGACGATGCGTATTTATGACAGAAAATCACCTAGGATTGGCTCAAAATAAACCCTCCCAGTTTTCTTCCCCCAGAGGTGGAGTCATGACCAGGTGTGACCACTGCCTAAGAAGCCCCTCATCCTTGACCTTGGGGCCAGTAAAGATGCTCCATTCAGGAAGGTGCCCAGGGCAACACAGAAACCCGCATCTGAATTTTCATCTAAGACTTGAAAAAAACTCCTAAAGCCAGATACCAGTGAGATTCTAAAACTAAACAATTTCTGATCAAGGAGTTTTAAAACATAGGAAAAGCCTTAACTTTTAAAGACAGGGAGGGTCTGCAGCATTCCAGAAACGGTACCATCAAGGAAGCTTATTTCCGTGCTGGCTGTGGGTCAGCTTAGGAAGACGTGCCCTCACTGTACAAGCGGCACGCCGCTCACGCCAAGATGCAGAACATGCACACAACAGGATTTCGACTGCCAGGCGCACTTACAATGCACATCTAGGGCTCGTGAGAAACGCCTCAGCAGACTTAACTTTTAAGGCAAGGAAATCTCTTACGAGGCAAAAACCAGTCTACACAGTCCTGTGCTTTAAGATGTGAACACTTAATTAGGTAACAGGGCGCCACTACCTAGACACAACCCACACAGCTGACACCATGCGATGTGCGAACACTGTCAAGCACTTTCACTCAGCGTGTCAAGCGCAGCCTGGGGCCAGGGGACCGACTAGTGGCTCACGGTCCTCTGTGCCTCTTGAGGGGGCCAGTGCGGGAAATCCTACGTGCTGACCCACAACCAAGGTTACCTCACACCCCTCTGGCCTTCCCACTGAACTGGAAGCTCTGACCATTGGGGAACCCTGTTCTCCATGAAACGAACCAGGAAGGAAACGTTTCCTTAGTGGTTTCCCTGCATTACTAATTACAACTGTTCTCTTCTACTATACAGTACACTTTACCCAGATAACTACCTTCGCAAAGAAAGGTCCTGTTAAAATCACACCACCACATAAAGCCAGTAGGAAGGTGGTTCTACCACACGGTGACCTTCCGTGGGACTCCTGCCACGGCCCCAACTGCAGCAGACTGGGGGTGGGGAGATTCAAGAGGGCAGGTTAGTGAAGGTGCCAAGGACACGGAGAAGCAGTGACAGTTGTGGAAACACTAACGAGGGATCTGAGGTTCTGCTAAAAGAACACGGAAGGGAAGGTGCATGTGACACAGACCACCCGGAACAAAGCGTGCCAGGACCTGGCCCTGGCCGATTCCCGCTGCAGCTGCCACAGTGTGCAGAGGACGAGGTGCATGAGGTTTGCTGAGCTCAAGACTAACACAGAAAATCACCTGGTTCTTAAATGTCATTCATTCAGACTGTATTTATAAAATGCTGTGTCTTTGGGGACTGAGATAAAACAATCATTTGTTACTGCAATGCAATTAGGAATGTTCTCTGGTCAAATTTTTAAAAGTAAATACAGCCATTTACTGCAAGTTTGAGAACACTGAAGATACACGAGACGTTACTGAAGTCTTTTGTGTATGTCACATACATGGAACTACATTACCAATTTGATTTCTATCATCTAAAGTTTTAAGTCATTAGCTAACCTGTATCACTTAACAAGCTCGTTAAGCCACACCCATCCTCCTTTCTCGTCTTTTTAAGCCTGGTCAAAAGGAACAATTCGGAGCAGAAAGTGGAGGGGGATTCTCTATGTTAAATTCATCCTGGGGATCATCTGCTGAGCAACTTCCTACTGCTGACTTGAAGCTAAGGCATGCTGTACTTTTCCTAAACGGTGTTTTATATTAAATACCTAACACGTGACATATGAGATGCTAAGCTCAGTAAGACATCTATTTGACTAAAACAAAACCGTGAAGTCAACACGTGAGGTCTGGTACCACCACAGCCTCCTACTGATGGCAACTGTTAACCCCAAATAAAACTGTAGGTTCCTGGGTCAGTTTGTAACTCACACTGCCTCTCCCCAGTGAACACCCTGGAGCTGCACCCCAACAATTATGGATTAAAAACAAGATGAAAAGTTTCTCTCATGGATGGGAGTGGCATTCTTCCCTATCCTGGATCACTGATAATTGGGACAAGTTTTCCAGGAATACATTTGTGAATAATTGCAGTTACTCCTGAAGATTAACTAGAATGCTAACAGACCTAACACAAATTTTACTGAGCAGCTGAAGTCCCGAGGTCCACCTGTCATTCCATCCCGAGCAAATGGTTGGTAAACAGGGAGGAAAAGAAAACCCAACCAACCCAAAACCTAGTTATATACCAATACTTCCTTGCACCATCTTAAGTGAACAAAATCCATACCGGGGAAAATACTACCCCAAAGTACTTTTCATTGATATCAACCACCCACATAGCTTTGGATTTTATTTCACCTTCGAGAGGTCGTAGCCACAACTATCACATCTGTGTTCTGACCAGAGTGCATTCTGATACTGGTGTGAATGACCACATGAAAGGCATTTAAAGTATATCTGTAGTAAAACTTGCTTCCAAGGACAGTCTGTATTTGAGCAGAACAAATTATCACTGCATTACATTCTTTTACATCAATAAGGTTTCCATGGGAAAAATTACTCCGATTACCTTAGAATATCTGAAAACAGTTTATTGAGAGAGATCCTACTCTCTATGGAGAGGAGTAGGTTAACTTTCACATTCGTGATTCCAAACTTAAAGTTAAGAGTCAATTTTACAGGACACATACATCTTTAAGAGTTGGCTTAGCCAGAAAAATTTCTGAAAGTGATTGCTTTTGTGAATATATATTCCACACTAAAAACATCAATATGTGTAGTTATTAAATTCTAGTAGGACAGAATAGACTAAGCTTATTGATAAGGTCCACGCTATGCATTTATGTTGCCAAGGTATTATTCCAGGCATCTCTTTTTAAAACAGCAAACTTAAATTGCGCTCCCCGCAAAAGATTTAAAATTTCTCTAAATACTTTTACATGTGAAGTTATTCAAAGATGTATTTTATATGCATATGTTACACAAGGGAGTAAACACATATTTTTTTACTCTGGCATTAGAACTAAAAACTTATCTACAAAATGAGTAATTCAGAATGAGCATAACCTCAAGCTCACACATTTATACAGCAAATCAAAACAAGATGTCAGAAATTAAATGAAAATGAACTAAAGCAACATACAAAAAAAAAAAAAAAAACCCACACACATACCAAAAAACCCCAGTCACAGAATGTAAATAACTATACAGCTATTGAAGCCAACTATTATTTCACTTAGAAAATTCAGGCAGTTGGAAAGAAAAACCTTGTTTTAGTAATTGAGGATTACTGCCCCAATACCCCATTCACAGTATGTTATGGCAAAAAGAAAAAAGAGAAACCTTCTCCCAGAGAAAAGAAAAAGGAGTGCAGCGGCAAGGGTGGGACGAAGGCCCATCTGTTCTGCACGCGCATCCACACATATGCACAATCCTGAGTGACGTGTGGGCTGAACCTCAGGGGCCAGTAGCCACGCGAGGGCCCGGAAACAGGAGCTGAGAAGTCAGGCGCACGTGCTGAGGGTGAGAAGACCCCCGCTCTCTCCACGTGCACTGGAGCAGCACTGAGGCTTAGGTGTGCGTAATCATCCCCTGCAAACTCAAACGCCAGGCTGCAACCCCATTTTCTTCTCAACTGGCATCCTCGACCTGAGCACTAAGGGATGGGCACTTTGGGAAAGCTGCACTGTGAGTTTCATGTGCAAAACACCAATCTCTAACTCAGTCAGCCAAGATGAATCCCTGTCTAGAGGAGGAGAATAAAATCTCCCAAATACCTGCATGATTATTCAAGCCCTATTTGTGCACCCCCAGGGTCTAGGAAACAAGTTCTTAAGTTTTAGGAATCCTTGGAAAGGCATGAAAGAGATACTTCAATAAGAAGATGCTGGCCAATTCAACCCAACTTTAAACCTGATGAGACTAGTTTAAAACTCTTTAGGTACATCAGAGTCTTCTTAGAATGTTAAGTGACATCCTTTTTAAAAAACTAAACAGAATTTAAGATTTATCCTATACACTAACATGATATGGACACCCGTCCAATTCTTGCATGAGGTCATAGAGTGAAGCTAACAATACCATCCCGAAATTATTAACCAGGCATTAAACAAAACAAGGAATATTTTTTGAAGTTTAGACATACCTTCAGGTTGTGCATGTGATTTTTATACCTTTCTAAAATCTATTAGGCCCGTAACTTACAAAAGCTATGAATCTGAGAAACTATTACTTTTAAGTTCATACATTCATTTCTATAGAAAAGTCACATAATCACAAGTTTTTATACTGACCAACATTTTAAAAGTTGTGAAGGAGATGATACAATTTTACTGACTCTGTAGGAGAAATGTTTTTGTTTGGATAGACTCCAGTTACGCAAAAGAGGCACAGCACTGGGAAGAGGATAAAGCTGACACATTAAAGTCAACTGAATCTAGCCACTCGGGTTTTGCTCAGACTATACATGTATAGTTGTTGTTTTTTTAAAGCCAAAGGGCACAACTTTGTAGTTATCTCCGGCAAAGTTATCTGAGTGCATAATTTCACCATGATTACTTTTCACCGTCATCTCTAAATTTCCCTTTCCATGTAAGTTTGCTAAATATTCCTGCCAAGCTAGTAATTCTTAATTTTTTCCCCCTAAATGAAAGGGAGAGTTTTTTCCTCAACCATAAAGAGTGACTGACTCTGCTTATTTACAAACCCCGAAACCATCTAAAGATAAAAAGGTGGAAGAACACTTAAAACTAAAGTAACTTACCTTAGAGACTTAAGTCCTCAATGTCAAAGTGGCACACCAGGCCTTGCTGTGACAAACACACACCACACTGTGTCCAATGCAAACATCTACCTTCCCAGATGTGAAATTATATTTTACTATCAGACCAACAATTGTTGTAAGCCCAGGAAAATTCACAGGAAAAAAAAAATGAGGCACGGGGGCAGATTTTTTTTTAATAGTTGTATTTCAAACAGGAACAACAAACGAGAAAAATCTAATTCATGGCAGGTAAACCTGGGTGTGCAGAAAGTTATATACACACATTTACACTTCAGCTGTCAACACTGCCCTCTCATATCCTCCCCTTTCGTTAAATGGCCAATCTTCAAAGTGGCAACACAGGAAAAACTCCTCCATCACTGCACCAGAGTCCTCCGGGCACAGTACCCCTTACGTGAAGGAGTCGTCTCGAAGGTGCTTTCAGCCATAAAAAAGAAAACATGTTAAAGAAAGGAAACAAGTTTGCTCTTTCCCACCCACAAAGTGGTCTCACCTGTGGTTCTAGCTTTCTTTACTCCAAAGGGTTCCGAATCTTCCAAGCATCTCTTGCGATTTGTTCCCACACTAATGTGATTAGGAAATACATTCGGATGGCCCCCATTGAAGGGGCCACCGTTATAGAAAGGATTCAGATGACAATTCTGGAGGTTCAAGAGAAACTGGGTACACTCTTGGAAACCCTGGGTTTGAGCAATGTCTGCTGCCGTCAGGCCACTGGCATTTCTCAGGCTGTACGACACAAAAACACTGAATTACATCCCATTACCATTTGCATCTGGTCTCTGTTCCTGCTGAACTGACTAACTATCTGCAGGTGATATGAAAGAGCATACAGATTTACAGCAAGTCTGAATTAAAGAAGGAGTTACTCATCCTAGCTCTGTAACTAACTTCTCTCTTATGCACATTTGATTACTAAGCAAGATTTGGGAGATAGTAATTTAAAAATCAATATACTAAACTTTAAAAAAAAGGCATCTTCCTATTTAACTTCTCAAAATCATTTTTTATGTTAGTCTGAAGAATATAAATTTATGCTAACTTCAGACTTAACCTGAAACTGAATTCTATATTATCTGCACTTAATTTTAATAATCCATTCCTTTAGCTCGAGTAAAATCATAACAAACAAACATGTACTGAATTGTCCATGGCATTTATAACAATTGGCTTCCTAACAACAAAGGCAACTGGCTTAACGACAAGCCAGAATTTGTGCTAACATGTGACACTATAAGTGGAAGTTTAGAAGGATGTCCTGAGACTAATTTATCATCAGACTGGAGATCTGAAAAGCTGAATTTTTTGGCCTTAGGAAAACTTGCAGAAGTTCAGAGCATTTGAGTGGGTGTTTCCTTCTAATACTGTCCTAGGAACTCATCCCCCTAGGCTGAGTCCTACCATCAGAAAGAATCAACATCATCCTGCGTGGCTAATAACATTAACAAGTAACGGTCCGATGTCCTCTGCATTAGCTAAGAGTCAGACTAAATCAGAAGTGGTGGCAGAATATAAATGAAAGCTCTAAATAAGATGAATACGAAAGAACCAGTTGAAATTGTAAATCTTAATTAGGAAACAATAAAAACTGAGGGAACAAAAGCAACTCCACGTTTAAGTTCCCCTGGAAGACAAGAAAATACACTGCTCTGTGAAATAAATCTGTAAAAAGCAAGACAGGTTGTTAGCTGCACACTGATCCACTGAAACTGGAGAAGCACTGAAGGGCCGAGGCAGTACCACACCTCCCAGCGAGCTCTGCCACAGACAGTGCAGCTGTGACCAAACACAGGCCTCGTCTTGTTCCCGAAAGAACAGGGCACAACCCTGGATGCTTTTTCCCTAGATTAACGTGAATGAAAAAAAAAAGCCATTTCAGGGAGAAAACTACAGAATCAGGGACAAATAAGGATTTTCCGTTTTAAACATAACAATAAGCCCTGTATTCCTATTTCCAGCCATCATACGCAGAAGGTTCCAAACTCAGAAATGAAAAATCTATATACTTTTGGACAATCACTAAATATGTTCCCACTTTTAAAAGCATGAGATAAAGAAATGTATCATACATTCTGAAGAAAGGCAAAAGCCCAAACTCAATCTGATCAAATATAAAAGAGACAAAACTTGAAAATCCCCAAAACCAACAATATTTTCTTAAAAATATAAGGCAGCTGTGTGCAGGGCTACTGAGAACTAAAACTGACATTTTTATTTGATTTCATGGCTATGACTTCTGATAAACATTATTCTAAAATTTCACAATATTTTGATATATGAATTAAATAGAGAGGAAACATCAAAGTTTGGGTAGAGTGAGTTACATTAGTTATGTGTATAGAAAATGATCAGATACTTGATTTTTAATATCAACATGTTATAGAAATTTAACATTCAAGCAAGTGTAAAACTGGATAATTTTTTTAAATGGTGTATTACATTTTCAGAAGATATCATGAGTGAATGGTCCAAAAAGGTCTACTCTATCAAGAATGTGAACAGAATAAGTAGCTGCAATAAAATTAAAAAAAAAATTTAACTCTACACAATTTGAAATGACAAAGACCCAGAACATAAGCAAAGTTTAAAAAATGATCATTTCTACAGATAAATATGAACTTGCTCTCCAAAAATTAAAGAATACAGAAATGAGAAGCTGCTGCTTAAAATCAGGACAAATAACGCTGACAGTAAAGATTACTCCTCAGTGGATGATAAAATAAAGAACAGCACACAGATTTTTTAAATGGCATTTACCACCCTAAATGCCAGTTCACTGAAGAAAGCTGAGATGCTCAGGGAGCATGCCAACTTTTCTAAGTCACTGAAAACAAGAACATCCAAACTACACTCAATTCCCTTACTCTTAATTCAGAAACTGAACAGTAGACTGAATCTGAGTTAGAATAGCAAGTTTACTGTTCTTCCAAGGAAATACAGCCTTAAAGAGAAAGAGCAAGTGCGCGCCAATATCCGGAGGCCACAGAGACTGTAAATGTCTGAGTGGGAGCGCCTGCCTGCACCTGAGAACACAGGCAGCGTCTCCTGCCCGTCTCCAACTACCACAAGTGGTCCCAACACGTGCACATCACTCGGCTTGGACGAAGCCAATCAGATTTCCAGGTGGTGTGAAGTATTATCTTCAAAACTCGAAAGAACAGTCACTAGAGTCAACTCATGCTATGTACTCATGTGTGGACCAAGCAAGTAAGAACAACCACAAGCCGAACTGAACTTCAACTGGTTCCTCATATAACTCTGAGGGATCCAAAGAGAGATCCAAAGGGGAGTTCAAAACATTCCAGAAAATGTATGGACAGATATCAGAATCTGGGACGTAAGGTAACTGGAAAAATTACCTGGGAGATTATAATTTTGGCACTATCCCTACAGTAGTATTATTAGAAACAGGAACATACAGTATCCCTTCTCCACTTCTGGTGAAACTACAGAAGTTTTCAACTATATTATTTCTCAGTTACTAAGGACTGAATGTAACATTCAGTTTAACAGTGTTACGTTCCTCTAAAGCAGAAAGATCCGTTAATACCTGACCCTGGAACAGGCCAGCAGAACCGCCCACTTCCCTCTCCTACCTCCGAACGTTTTCCTTCCCATCTCCTTTCCTACATACCCACACTCATTCCTCCTTTCTTTACCTGTAGTTTAACACGCTAATTCTGCTCTGCTCATATTTAAAACCTTGCAAGTGGCTCTGCAATCGTATGGTGCACAAAAACTGGGTGGAAAGGAATGACTGGGATCACCAATCCGGGGCAGGCACTTTTTCTGTAAAGGGCTGGACAGCAAAAACATTAAGCTCTACGGGCCACAGTCTCCGTTCTCTCGTTTTAGCCTGAAAGCAGCCTTAGATGATGTGTGAACACAGCATTGGCTATGTTCTAATAAACCTTTAGTTACTGGCACTGAAATTTGAATTTCATATATTTTAACGTGTCATGAAATATTATCCTTTTGATTTTTGTTCAACCCTTTAAAAACATAAAAATCATTCTTAGTTTATGGGCCATACAAAAACAAACAATGGGCTGGACCAACTGAGTAACATTTAACCAATAGATGATACTGGTAACTAGTCCTCTACTCTTTTTTAAAAAATTTTATTTTATAGAAGTATGTTGATTTACAATGTTAATTTCTGCTGTACAGCAAAGTGATTCAGTTATACATATATATATACACACACACACATTCTTTTTTATATTCTTTTCCTTTATGTTTCATCACAGAATGTTGAAGATAGTTCCCTGTGCTATACAGTAGGACCCTGTCGTTTATCCATTCTATACACAACAGTTTCAACTGCTAAGCCCAAGCTCCCAATCCTTCTCTCCCCTGTTCCCCCTCGCCCTTGGCAACCACAAGTCTGATCTCTATGTCTGTGAGTCTGTTCCTGTTTCATAAAAGTTCATTTGTGTCATATTTTAGATTCCACGTGTAAGTGATATCACATGGTATTTGTCTTTCTCTTTCTGACTAGTCCTCTACTCTAAATAACAGGTACCTATGGGTTCCTGAAAACTGTCTCTCTGGTAATTTTCTGCACTATTCAATTCAAACAAAAAAATAACTTTTTAGAAGTTGCCAAATCTGTTAAATCACAAAATGTTAAATATCAAGAGAATATCTAAAGGTAAACTTTAGAAGAATGTAAATTAAAAGACCTTGAGAGAGCATGCAGAAGAAAGAATCATTCCTACTCCATCTGAGTGTTTTCTGTTAAAAGTTCTAAGTGTCTTACGACTGAATTAGGCAACGTGCTTAATATGAATGAGGCGGAAACTGTCTTTACAGGTCTGAATTCCTCAAGTCACTTCTTAATAAGCAGAAAGGGTTTTCAAACGTATTACACAGAGGCTGAAAATCACGTGGGTTTCTAGGTGAAGAGCAGCATAAAGAATAGTTATGCGGTATAGTTCTTAAAACACTTTAACAAAACAGGCTCAGGCCTTTAAATGCATTTTTAAATATATGCTCTCCTTTTTGTTAAGCATGTTTCAATTTTAACGTTTTAAGAGTTGAAACAGTTATCCTGGTTAAAATGTATCATCAATTTATTAAGCCTTCAGCTCTATTTAGTGTTACAAGTTTAAGCAGATATTCAACCTAAGCAACCTTCCATGATTTTCCTAAAATCCAATGGGAGCTGGGCACATGAATGTGATTTAGGATTTTACAGGTTCTATGATAATTTCACATTTGAATTTGGTCTTTTCTTCTGTTACAGTACTTTTAAAACAGTCAAGCCTTCACTCTTCAATCCCGAGGTATTCACTGCGGGTGTGATATGGCCACACTGCACTCTCTGCTGGCTACTCCTACCAACCCGAAGTGAGGGGCTGCTAAAGACACAGTTAATCTGAACTGTGGTCTTCACACGCTAGTCCAAATGGAAATTTTCAGTATCTGGAAGATACTGTTCAAAATTACTCTCAAAAACTGTATTTTGTATGAGAATTGGGGCACTAATGAAAGTGTACACGGTATTTTTAGACTAAGTCTTTAAAAAACACACATGAATTTTGTGCCTTTGGTTTACTGCACTCGGGCAGATGACGCCTCATCTAAAATGTACCTCTGTCCATTTCTGACAGCAAGAAGCCCCATGGGGGACGTGCTGTGAGGTTGTTCTAAAGCTCCAGTTCACCTTTCTGGTCCCCTCTGGTATCCGTTTAAAAAATCTTTGTAAATGGGCAGAGATTTAAAAA